GGGAACCCAACGACGTTCTAAGAGGCGGAACCATGGCGTCTTCAACGAGTAGTCGTCGTGATCGACTATTTTGGAAAGCTCGTCAGCGTGTGAGTTGAGTTCGTGGGGAATCCATTCGATGATCAAGCGCGTGCCGAGCTCCATGCATGTGCGTATGATGCCCTTGCAGGCCATGGTGAGGTCGGGGCTGCGAGAGCCGCCTTTGCGAAGGATGAAGAATACACCTTGGTTGTCCGCCCACACGAGAACGTGTTTTTTTCTGGATCTTGTTGGCATACGTTTGGATTGCCCAGAAGACGCCTTCAATCTCCCGTCTCGTGCTGGACGTTGCTCGTAGCGGCTCTGGCATGGTTGCACTGACTTCTTCGAGGCCGCCCGGAAACGTGGTCAGGGTGGCGCCCCAACCGTGAGAGCTGGCGTCCACATGGATTACAGCGTCGTAGCTGTTTCGAACGTGAAATGGTGCACCGTTAAACCGATCAAACTCTTCGCGCTAGAAGTGGAGCTCCTCAGCTGCAGATGGGGAGACGATCACACTGCTTTTCCATGACGGCGCGTTGTTGATCACTTGTAACATGGCGTGGCTGAATGCGCGAGCTGTCGCGCCTAGTGCGACACTCATTGAGGCGAGCATGCCTGTGATTCTGGCCACGTGACGGACGGGGACTGGTCTGCATGCCTTGCTTGCACTTAGGAGGTTCTGGATGGTTGCATGTAGCGCGGCTCGTCGGTCGGGACCGATGGAGAATCGGCCAGTGTCGGTGTCCAACTCTACACAAAAAAATCGAAGGTGTTGCGATGGTGAGAGCTGCAATTTCTTCGCGTTTATCACCAGCCCCGCTGCTTTGAGGTCCAATATTAAGCGCTGACAGGTAGCTTGCGCATGGGCCTTTGACTGGCAGAGAAATAAAATGTCATCCACGTATGGCACTACTCGGATGCCCTGTTCTCGCCAACGCCGGGCAAGTTGCTTGATGAGTTGCGTTAAGACGAATAGAGCTGTGGCGAGTCCGAATGGCAGGGAACGAAATGCGTATGTGCGTCCACCAAATTCGAATCCAAGGAACTTCCAGCACGAGGGGTGGATGTCGATGTGGTGATAACCGGATTTAAGGTCGATGGAGAACATCCAGTCCCCAGCGCGTGTCAGGTCGGCCACCCGGTTAAGCCCCTCGTACTTGAACTTGGGGACAATTAAGTGAGCGTTGACTTTCCTCAGATCAAGAATGAGCCTGCATTTGTCTTTTTGCTCGACCACGTTGAGCAGACTTATGCAAGTAAGCTCCTTTGCGGCCAGTGGAACTACTGCTCCGGTCTCTGTGAGTTCTTGTACGGTAGTACGCGTGAACGTGGCATGCGTGTTCGCCCCGACATGGTTGCGATCGTGGAAGGGTTGCGGTGGGCCGTGGCTCCATGGCAACCAATAGCCTTTGGATATGACGGAGAGGACAAGGCTACTCGAGCACCATGAGCTCCACCATTCAAAGGTCGCGCGAAGCCGGCCGCGCATATGTGTAACGGTTTTGTCCGTGATGGCAAATTCGTACGGATCGTCGCCGCATGCCGCCTCGTATTGCCACGCTCCTGTGTGTTCGTGGCATGGGACAAGGGTTGCACCTTTGATTTAAAACATACGTGTGTTGCATGTGTGCACGTGCTTGAGATCACTTGTAAACGGTGTGGACAGAATTGACAACTAATTGCTATGTCAACGAGTGTGCCGAGCACCGACCGGCTCGCCCCACGGTCCACACACGGTTGGATGCGGCTGTTCATTCCCTCTCTCTCTCTCTCTCTCTCTCTCTCTCTCTCTCTCTCTCTCTCTCTCTCTCTCTCTCTCTCTCTCTCTCTCTCTCTCTCTCTCTCTCTCTCTCTCTCTCAAGCGGTCATGTATTGATATGGGTCACAAAGGTACAGGCATGGCAAGTGGTGGTAGCTAGCGTGACTAAACATGGAAGCAACCAGGAAACCAGAGCTAACAAACAAACAGAGCAAGCCCGTCCAGCCAAAGCCAAAGCACACCGATCACCTAGCACTCAGAGCAGCCCGGTCCACAGCAGCACAAGTCCCTGAGAACCCCACATTCCACTTATCCCTTGTTCCTCCCATACCATAGGGCCACCCCTTATCCTCCTTCCCCCGCAGCTTCCTCCCACCTTCCCTGAGACGCCCTCCATTCCTTGTCCCCCCTGAAACCTCCCAAACTTAGTATTCTTCTTCTTCCCGACCCTCACCACGCCCCTGTATCTCTCCCCTACTGCCACCCGGCCGCCCCCTGTCCCCGAGTTCCTTCCACCCCAGCCCCCTAAGCCGCTCTAGCTGGGGCCTGGCGCTCCTCATACTCGTCCACCTGCATCTGCCAGAGGTCTCCTAGGCGGGGCGCCCAAGGGTCTGCTGCCGCCTTAGGGTATGCCGCTTCCGCTGCCCGGTTTGACTTGGAGAGGAGGGATATCGCCTGGCTGCGTTGGAGCATCACCGACCACCGCTGCCTGTAGTGTGCGTTGAGGCGGGCAGCGGTGGTGGTGAGGCGCCCCTGGCGGTACTTCTTCTTCGCCGCATAGGTAGCCAACATACGGAGGAACTGCTGAGTATCAGTCGCCAACGCCCCGTAGGTCTCAACCGCCAGGCCGAAGAAGCCCACATAGCCAGGCCGCCCCTCGTAGAGCCTGTGCTTGCCCTGCGACGCCTCCTCCGCTGCCCACCCCGGCGGCTTCCGTGCCCTCACGTCCCTCCTCTGTAGGACCGGGTCAGTCACAGTCACGTCCGTCGCCCAAGTCTCTCCCGACTCTTGGTCCCTGACGGCTAGGTCAGCACGCTTGTTCTGGACTGGGGGAGAGAACGCGGTCGTCTCGTGGAAGGTTTTGTACCCAGCTTCCTGTGCCATGCGAAGGGCAGCAAAGGCCAGCGCGTTGTGGGTGCGCACAGCATCCCCCCCATCAGCACACCGTAGCAGGTGGTTCGGCAGACTCTTGTCGGCTATCTTGGAGTTGGATCTCTTGCAGGGGCAGACCTCCGCTACTGGAAGTTCCATGCCAAGGCGCAGGCCTAGTGCCATGGAGAACTGACCAGGGGATATTGAGAGGTCAGCCCTCGTTGGCACTGCATGCAGCCAGTCGCCCGCTCCTACTCCTTTCAAGCTGATGAGCCGAATGGCATGGCCACGGTCCACCCCCGGCCTATCAGTGACCGTATCTGCCAGCAGCTCTTCCGCCCGCGTGTGGTTAATGGCCTTGGATAGCCCCAGCTGCAGATTGCCCATGCCCTTGGGGTTCTCCCTATAGCTGCGTAGGACCGCTGCAGCTTGTGCTGGGAGCCTCGCCTCGAGCGGTGACAGTGGGTTGACCCGGGGGGGAGGTGGGGCCCACGTCGGGGAGAGGAGATCCCCGGCCCTATGAAGAAGGTAGTCAGGCGGCAGGTTCAGCTGCAGCAGTAGGAGGTGCGCCGCTGCAGTTGAGGCGAGGTATGCTGCTGGGGCTTCGGAGATGGGATCAATGATTCCCAGGCCTCCTAGCCTAACCGGGAGCGTTGCCTGGCGCCACAGCAAGCTCTGCTCTAGCTCGCTCGGCGGGATCTGAAGCTTTGATGCCGCAAGCCCTGCTCCCACCAAAGCCTCGCTCCACTCCCGCCATTCCATACGGGCCAGCGCCTCTGCTGGTGTTGTGCGAAGTAAGTACGAGACGCGGCGGGAAATGCTCCGAGATAGCATGAGTAGGGCATGCTGCGGGTTGAGTTGGGAGACGAGGGGTAGCGGCGCCGCTGCCTCCGCAAGCGCCGCACGGATCTGGTCGGTGCAGAAAGCATCGCTGCCAACCGGGCTGCCCAACACCTATAAACCACCTGGGTGGGTGGGAAGGCCGTGTGGCAGGCCGTCTCCCCCTTCCACCCGCCCTGCGCACCATGCCGCCGACTTGGCAAGGTTGCACCGTAACCCGCATGAAGCCAGCTCCGTAACGACCGTGTTGAAAGCGACGCACGCTACTTCGCGGGGTCCCACGATGGTGATATCGTCAGCATATGCCACTATTGCCACCTCCGGGACACTTGTAGCCACGCCGAGCAGAATAGGCTGGATCGCCGCTGCGAAAAGAAGAGGTCCTAGCGGGTCCCCTTGGCGAACACCCCTGGAGCTTTGGATGTGTTCCACTTCCAGACGGGGGTCCACTAAAAGCCGTGAGGGGCCATCGTAGAGGTTCCTGACGAGCGGGAGTAACGGGTTGAGAGTAGACCACTGGAGGGCGGAGAGAAAAGACGCGCGTTCTACGCTGTTGAAAGCGTTCTCCACATCCAGCTGTAGAGCTATGCGGGTTTCGTCATCTCTGAGGAGAGAGCGGACCGTGTGGATAATACACTCCGCGCCTCCAGGGACCGCTACGCCGAACTGAACGGGGAGGAAGAACTCTCGGATTTTCGGGCCTAAGCTGCGTAGCGCCGTTTTTGCTACCACGCGTAGTAATGCCTCGCCTATTGCGATTGGTCTAACTCCTCCCCCCTTCTCTAATGCTATGAGCCGGGAAGGGAGTAGAAGGTCGCGGACTGTTTGGCTCTGGAAGGAACTGGCGAGGCGATTCACCACGTTTTCCAGGAGCAGAAGGATCTCCTCATTCGCCAGGGCTGGGTCTCTCAGGTGTTCGAGACAGCAGCCTGAGGGCCCCGCTCCTACCCCATTCGGGCACTTCGCGAGAATTTCGCGAAGAGCTTCTAGTGGGATACTGAGCTCGGAGTCAGTTATCCCGGTAACCCAGGCTGGCGTTGGAGTGCTAGCGGACGGGTGTTTTGCTCGCAGGGCAGTCAGCGTCGCCAAATTCGGTTCGGCGAGGGGGCTCGTGCGTAACGCTGCAACTGCTTTCGAAATGTTACCTTTTTTAACCAAACCCTCTGCCCTCGCGCAAACCCCCTCGTCATCATTTTGGTGTCTAAGCGGGGCACCTGTGTCGGGGATGGTGCAAGCAGCTTCGAACAACCCGTCCCAATCTCCTAGCTGGAACTGATGCAGCCGAGCCTCAATTGATGCCCATCGGCTGCCAGTGACTGGCTCTGGTGGCGGACGCAGCGTCAGCCTTGGGAGGTATAGCAGGATCGCCCATGCACCTGGGCATTCTGGGTTTGTTGACAGCCGTAGGAGTGGTGCGAGGAGGCATAGGCAGTATTTGTCTAACACCTGGGGTGGTAGCCGTCTGACTAGGAAAGGTTGGTCCATTCGTTGGAGAAGGTCCAAGGTCCACGTGCCTGCTATCTGCCAGATGGCGTCATCCTCTGCCAGGGCGGCTGGCGATTTCACCTCGTTGGCGACCGCTGCGGCTGGAACCGTCACTCCCACAGCGTGGGATGTTTCTCCTTCCACTCCCTCCCCTGTGCCTCTCGCTCGATTCCTCCCTCTCCCCGCTTCCTCCTCGTTTTCTAGAGAAACCTCTTCCGACTCTGGGCCTGGTTCCTCTCCACACATAAACTCTGGATCCCCGTTCTCCTCAGCAGAGCCGGCTTCGTCTCCATTGGCTGCAGCCTCCGAAGCCTCTGGACGGTCGTGACGTTCCCGCCACGGGCCCGTTCGGGCTTGGATCTCAGCTCCCCCCAGACGAGCGACACCCCCGCGCCCTCCCCCTCGCCTTCCGCGGCCCATACCACGTAAACCCCGGCCCGCCACCGGCGCCGATTGAGCCGTGGCCTCCAGTCCCGCTCTTCCCGCCGGCATCCACGGCGTACGGCCTCCCCTTGGAGGACCCCACGTGACAGTGCCCAGCCGAGCCGAGCGACGAGTGGCAACGCCTTCTGCGGCTGGGGCGACAGGGCTTGGCGGTAAGTGGACGTCTGCTCTGTTGTCCTGGTTGGAGGCTGGCTGATCTGCTTGGTGGGTTGCTGTCGTCTCATTTGCCGCCTCATTGAGTCCGGAAACCCCCCCTGCCTCTTGCGTATGCGCAGATGACGACCGATGCGCTCGCTCTGATGGCGGTTGCCCTTGCAGAAGCCAGCCCAGGAGGGGTCCCGGGGAGCCAGGTCCCAGCCCTGCTCCGGGCCGTCTCGGCGCTGGCTGGGCACGCAACTTCTTCTTCGACTTCGCCCGTGCAGCGCCGGAAGAATCGCCGTTCGCGCGTCCTGGAATCTCACCCTCCGCCTGGCCGTGCTCCTGCCTGTTTGCGGCCACGGCAGCAACAGGCGTTTCGGCGCTCGCTGCGGCAGTCGTCACGTCTTCCGCCGTCTGGGCTCCGTCCTGCTCCCCAGTCGCGGCAGACACCGCCGCCGCCAGCACAGCCGCCGTTACAGGTGCCGGTGACACGGACAACGCCACCTCCGCGGTCTGCTCCTGGTCCGCGCCCAGAGTTGGCTCATCAGCCTCCGACTGTGCAACCCGTGGGGTGGCAGAGGGTGAAGTTGAGCCGCCGCCAAAGGCAGCGGCAGAACCGCCAGCAGGCACCGGGCCCGCTGCCGCCGTCTCTGCTGCAGACGCAGCCGCAGCAGCTCCCTCAGGCACCGTTGCAGCCGCCATCCTGGGTATCACAGCAGCCACCAGCTCAGTCCCCGCTACGTCGTTTTCCCCTGCCCCTCCAGCCGCAGCCGCCTCGTCCCTCAATGCCCCATGTTCAACCGTCACCTCTCCTGCACACTCCAAGCCCTCAGCCAGTACCAGCCCCGCCGTCGTTCCATCGGAGCTTGTATGGCGGCCCCCCTGTGCCGCGTCCATGGGAGCCAGTGACGCCTCCCGCCCCACCTCCTCCCCCTGCCGTGGTTCCTGGTGAGCCCCCAACTCGCGTCGAGCAGCGCGTGATGCACGTTGGGACGTGCATGACACTCCTGTCGTACGTGCTCGACCAGCTTCACGTGACCCTGGTGCAGCAGGAGGTGCAGATCGAGGCGATGCAGCCGGCGGAGCAGTCAGCGGCGGTGGCGGTAGCGGAGGAGTTGCAGCATTACCTCCACCTGATTGGCTTTGTGCCAGGCTCCCCTGGGGCTGCCCTCGGGCCCGGCCCTGGAGCTTTGGCGCGGCTTGCTGATTCTGCCCGGGAGGACCCGCTCGACCTTGTAGCAGCAGCCGCGTCCGTCCTACGCTGGCTGGACGGGAGGCTGTGTTGGATCCTTGTTGAGTAGCGGTAGCCTTCCCCTTGCCGGCCCCCTTAGTAGCAGGTCTGGGTTTGGGCTTCCCCATGGAGGTGTTCTCACGCCCGGGGGTGTAGTTGTAGCTGCTGTTTTTCTATGTATGCATGTTGTACTGCCCCATGTTGATTTGCTTGGAGCTTTTCCCTTGTCACACCTCACGCGCGGCCGAAGGCCGCGCCGGCGAGCGGCGGCCGCCGAAGGCGGCCGGCGCGAGCCGCCGGTTTTTGGGGAGTAAACTGAACTCACCAGTGAAGAATGAGCTCAAAGGACTCCTCACTAGGTGCTTTATACTAGGGAAACGGCCCTGGAAACGTCTAAGGACTAAGGACTAGGCAGGAGAGGGTGAAAAACGGCTAAGGACTAACCCCAAGCCATCTTTCTCTCTCTCTCGCTCTCTCTCGAGCGAGCCGCCGGTTTTTGGGGAGTAAACTGAACTCACCAGTGAAGAATGAGCTCAAAGGACTCCTCACTAGGTGCTTTATACTAGGGAAACGGCCCTGGAAACGTCTAAGGACTAAGGACTAGGCAGGAGAGGGTGAAAAACGGCTAAGGACTAACCCCAAGCCATCTTTCTCTCTCTCTCGCTCTCTCTCGAGCGAGCCGCCGGTTTTTGGGGAGTAAACTGAACTCACCATTGAAGAATGAGCTCAAAGGACTCCTCACTAGGTGCTTTATACTAGGGAAACGGCCCTGGAAACGTCTAAGGACTAAGGACTAGGCAGGAGAGGGTGAAAAACGGCCAAGGACTAACCCCAAGCCATCTCTCTCTCTCTCTCGCTCTCTCTCGAGCGAGCGGGGAGTAAACTGAACTCACCAGTGAAGAATGAGCTCAAAGGACTCCTCACTAGGTGCTTTATACTAGGGAAACGGCCCTGGAAACGTCTAAGGACTAAGGACTAGGCAGGAGAGGGTGAAAAACGGCCAAGGACTAACCCCAAGCCATCTCTCTCTCTCTCTCGCTCTCTCTCGAGCGAGCCGCCGGTTTTTGGGGAGTAAACTGAACTCACCAGTGAAGAATGAGCTCAAAGGACTCCTCACTAGGTGCTTTATACTAGGGAAACGGCCCTGGAAACGTCTAAGGACTAAGGACTAGGCAGGAGAGGGTGAAAAACGGCCAAGGACTAACCCCAAGCCATCTCTCTCTCTCTCTCTCGCTCTCTCTCGAGCGAGCCGCCGGTTTTTGGGGAGTAAACTGAACTCACCAGTGAAGAATGAGCTCAAAGGACTCCTCACTAGGTGCTTTATACTAGGGAAACGGCCCTGGAAACGTCTAAGGACTAAGGACTAGGCAGGAGAGGGTGAAAAACGGCCAAGGACTAACCCCAAGCCATCTCTCTCTCTCTCTCGCTCTCTCTCGAGCGAGCCGCCGGTTTTTGGGGAGTAAACTGAACTCACCAGTGAAGAATGAGCTCAAAGGACTCCTCACTAGGTGCTTTATACTAGGGAAACGGCCCTGGAAACGTCTAAGGACTAAGGACTAGGCAGGAGAGGGTGAAAAACGGCCAAGGACTAACCCCAAGCCATCTCTCTCTCTCTCTCGCTCTCTCTCGAGCGAGCCGCCGGTTTTTGGGGAGTACTGAACTCACCAGTGAAGAATGAGCTCAAAGGACTCCTCACTAGGTGCTTTATACTAGGGAAACGGCCCTGGAAACGTCTAAGGACTAAGGACTAGGCAGGAGAGGGTGAAAAACGGCTAAGGACTAACCCCAAGCCATCTCTCTCTCTCTCTCTCTCTCTCTCTCTCTCTCTCTCTCTCTCTCTCTCTCTCTCTCTCTATCCCTCTCTCTCTCTCTCTCTCTCTCTCTCTCTCTCTCTCTCTCTATCCCTCTCTCTCTCTCTCTCTCTCTCTCTCTCTCTCTCTCTCTCTCTCTCTCTCTCTCTCTGATTCTCTTTCTCTCTTGCTCTGCACCACCTCTTTGTTTCTTAGAGTGTCACTTGCCAAAATCAGAGGGCCTTTAGGAATAATGTTTTATTAAATCGACCCGACACATAGCAATGCTTTCCTAGCATGCATACGCCACCTAGTGGCCAATACATGGGACCGAGGGGTTGATGTTCCCCTTCCCTAACCTAGGCCCAAGGCCTACTCTACCCTTGTCTAGGGCTGGCCTCTTGCCATCGCAAACCCCTAGGGCTGCCCACGGTTTCCGCACTCAAGAGTGTATCGTGCCTTGCGCTCCGAGCGCATTTCCCATGGCCCACTCCTACACTACCGGAGCGGGACCTTGGCCACCATGCCCGTTCCTAGGGCAGGCACTTGCCACATGGCCCGGCTGGCCGCAGCGGAAGCACGAGCCCCGAAACCCACGACAATTGGCCGTGGGTAGGGGGGCCCGCTTGGGTACGAACGGCATCGGCGCGTTGTTTCCGCCGCGGTTGACACGAGCGTAAGCGCTTGCCGCGCAGTCCATCGCAGCCATGTCCGCGACCGCCTGCTTGAAGGGTCGAGAGGTCAGCATGCTCTTCTGCTGGTACAGCTTGAAGCGCTTCGCCGTGCGGAAGTCGGAGGCGTCCTCCACTTGAAGCACCTCGAAACGCCCCGCGATGAGGTTGAGAGCGTGTGAGATGAGTTCGAGTCCGCCCGCCGAGTCGCCGCGCTGCGCCTTGTATTCCGCGTGCAGCAGGTACGCGCGCAAGTCCTCCAGCAGCTCCGCTTGCTCTCGCACGGAGTCGTTGACGAATGTCGTTGCCGAAAAAGTGAGGTTAGAAGAAGGGAGGGGGGGGGGGGGAGGTTTTCTGTGCCAATAAAATTAGCATTGTCGACTGGAGCCTCACTGGCGTCATCGTCGGAGTCGTCGGTGTCGTTGTCTACCGCTGGAGCAGGGGGAACGCCGGTTGCTGCGTCGTTGTTGCGCCGGTTCGTCCTTGCTCCTCGCACTCCGTTTTCCTTTTTCGCAGTTTCGTTTTTAGCGGACGCAGATGCAGCAGGTAGTGCAGTTTCCGCAGCTGTAACGCTGACGGGCTGCTGCTGTAGAAGGGACAGCAGCGCGTTGACTTGGTCCGGGGTCAACGCCTGCGTTAGCGTAGGAGTGGCTGTCGTGTCAGACGAGGAGACCGCCGGTCGTCGCCTCTGGCGCTGACGCGACGGTCCAGCTGCGGGTGCTGGCGTGTGCTCGGCGTCAGTCGCGTGTGTCGCGCCAGCCGCCGTTGCCACTGGCGCCACAGGTGCCACAGGCGCCACTGGCGCCACATTCGCCGAAGGGTGCTGGGCATCGAGCCCGCCCAGCAGCACGTCCACTCCAGTCGGGGCGGAAGGTCCATCTTCTGCCCGACGCTTGTTACGTCGATCGCCCGCAACATCGCGGGCGTTACGGTCGGTATTTCTGATGCAGCGCAGACCAGTGGGGGCTGCAAATTGGCATTCTTTATACCGACTACCCAGGTGGAGGATGGGTGTACACCAGTGCAGGGCCTCAGATTCGTTTTGGGCAAGGCTGAAAAATCAAAGTTGGTACAAAACGTTTTGCTGAAAATCAGACAATTCAGCCAATTTATGTCGTTTTACACTACAAATCTAATACCGTAATCCCCCGGATATAAAGCCCGCCGAATTAAAGCCCCCATGGGTGGTTTATGCAGGGAGGGTTTTTATTTCGGTATCCGCAATACTATACCCGCTTTTTTGCCCTACCAATAGAGCACCCCCCCCCCCCCCCCCCCCCCCCCCCCCTACCCTAAACACCCCCCTCGTAATGGCCATGTTTTAGCTTTGGATTCAATTTGTTTACTGTATTCATGCGATTGCGGCATTCACGGGTTACTGTACATTCTGTTGAATTTGAACAGCAAGGATGATGCAGACTTGTGACTGGGAGCAGCAGACAAAAAGTGTTGCGTAGTGTGTTCGTTGCAGTTGCGCATGACCCACGTTCATGCACTTCGCGGCTTGGCAACGTGCAACACAAGAGCACGCTTGACCAATCACGGCTAAGCCGAGAGATTTTAGTGCTCATTCTGGGCCACACAACTATTTTATTGACCCAGATTCTTGAGCCCGGGTCGCTCGAGCCAACAATCAAATAAGCATCCAATTTGTCATTATTCGATAGTGTATTCGACACTGAATCTAGCCATAATTTTATAATACGTAACGCGAAATTACATACCCGGGTGCAATACGTTCATCCCGAATTAGTGCACCCACCCCCCCATTTTTAGGGCGTACTAACACAGCACCCGGGGCTATATATCCGGGGGCTTACGGATTGTAAGAAGGAATGGAAGAAGAGGATTGTACTAACAGGCAGGTGGAGTACATATAGGAAACCCTAAAAGGGTTGTACTCTCTGTTGAGTACCCCACTACAGCCTACACAGCAAATAACATTTTGACACACCCCCATAGGCGAAGTGGGGGATAGCCAACACAACAAGCAGTCGTAGGACCAGTTCACAAGCAAATGCTAGTGGCAGAAACTGAGGGCAAGTGAGGAGGAGAAGGGACCATCAGAGGAGAGGAGGAGGTGGGCGGCCCCGGAAGCTGCTGGCACACGGCACAAAACGGAGTAGCTGGCTCTGCTCGCCGGCAAGAGCAACTGACCCACGGTCAACTGGAGCAAGTGCCACACGGGCAACTGGAGTAACTGGC